GGGGGGGGGGGGAGGAAGAGATTGGGTGGGGAATGAATGGGCAGAGAGAACAAAACAAGACGTAGTGTTACAGTAGGTCTTATTCATAAGACAAAGATGAACGGAGTAGATTAAAAATACTTCTTCACCCTGAGGCTGTTTTTCATCGTTTGGTCCCATTCATTCCAATAAAGCATAGACGCTACAGCTTACCATCATATTTCAGACCAAACCGTGCATCCAACTTTGAGTCAACAGTTTAGGGAAGAGCCTTTCCTCTGCACACTCCCCGCTCCATGAAGTCATAGTTTCCCATTTTGGTGTGGAAGAACTTGCCTGGCCTGCTCTGACCTCAACCACACCCCACACTGATACACTGGAACCCCCATTGTGTCCCCCTCACCTGACATCAGTATTGGACTCACTGATGCTCTCGGGGCTGAACAGATGTTGTAGCAGCAGCTGTTTAAATATGATTGTAACAGTGGGGAACAATAACATGTGGGTTGTCACAAACATTTAATAAAGTTGTGATGTTATCTTTGCAGTTACTCCTGCACTGCTTTGCCAACCAAATCTCTATCAAAAGTCGTTTTTAGTTAAGTGATCTGACAACTTCAAACATACAACTTCAAATAATCACCTGAATTTCCACTTGTTGGATATAAAATAGGGGGACAAAAAGTTTTATTTTTAACTGTAACAAGACTCAACAGGCTTTCCAAAAGATACGCTTTCTGTGTCTTACATAACACGTGAACCCTAACGGTACGTCCACACAGCAGCTTTGAAAAAATCTTGAAAATCTTGGAGCTGGGCGTGTCTGAGACCTTGGGGATTTTTCGCGAGCAACGCGACAAACAACCAATCACATGAATCTCCCGCCCCCGGCATACAAAGCAAAAAACCCCGGGGATTTTATGCGAGCAATATATATATATATATATAAATAAACTGGTAGGTTTTCGCCTGTTTGGGGAATTTATATATATATATATATATTGCTCGCATAAAATCCCCGGGGTTTTTTGCTTTGTATGCCGGGGGCGGGAGATTCATGTGATTGGTTGTTTGTCGCGTNACCTTTTAAATACAAAATATATGATATAATGTGGTGGGGACCTAAATAGCACCGAATGCTAGGAATGACCCATCTACAAACTAATGCATTTAGTTTTGCAAAGAAAAAGCGTATCTATCAAACAAACACATAACATTTTTCCAATAAATCACGTTTCAGAGAAAAATTCAGCATAGGTTTTTATAAGTACAACACTTTTTTTTCTCACGGCGGAATATATATTTAAGCAATAGCTCACGACAGGCCGTGGTATATGCTCATTATATCACAGCTAAGGGGCGTGGTTCGGCACGACGCG